ACCAGAATGCCAACTATTAAATGCTGTTGTGTTCAAGGCTCGTAGCACTAATAAAAGAGATTTGGACCAATGCATAAAGAGCAGATAAATGAGGACTCACTCGTCGCTCACTATTACGTGTGCTACTGATAAAATATCGTCCTCTTTCACCTTTTAAATCAAGAACATCCAGTTAACGCAAAGACCATAAATGCGTCCACACTAATACCTGATTCGCTAATTTTGTAAAATCCGCCTCCACTTAGGCTACTAGTTCCTCATCTTCCCGCGAGGTTACAAATTAAAGCCTTCTTCGGCTGCACCAGCATACACAAAACCACACAACCTTTATACAAATGTTTGCGTCATAGCAAGATAAAAATATGTTGAATGAAAATAATCACATTCCTCCTCCATTCTATGCATCGACTTCAAAAGCAGCATTTCGTTGGACAAAATCTTCGTGCACTATGGGGCCTCCTCGATTTTTGATGTCTTTTTCTCGCTGCCGAAGTGCTCGATATGTCGGTTCTACCAACGCAACGTCAGGACCTGTCGGCAAATTGACGAAAAGGGCGTTGGTAATACCGGAACGCCTGGGATAAAAAAATATAGAAGCACCAAACGGACCTCGAATGGATGGGAAACTTCGCCTTGAACCGCTGGAGTCGGCGATAAAAGAGGAAGGAGGTGCCTGTAAGGAGGATGTTAATCAAACGTAATCACATTAGGTCGTCAGGTGATGTGGAATCGCGATGCTCACATAACGCAGATTCACAAAACTCCATAGCGTAACGAACGCTAGATGAGACTTTAATTTTGCTCCAATCGAACTCTTCGTGCCGCCAGTCACTCAACTTTTGTTTTCGCTAAAAAACCTAGCGAAAAGTCAAAGGTAAGAGTTTTTACATTGATGTTTCTCCCTTTGCTCCGTCTTCGAGCTGACCAGTGATGGATAGGTAAACCAACTCAAATCAGACTAGAAGGATAGGCTAGTAACAGAGGTAGCGCGAAATAACTGAAATTTAATTTGTTTCTCATTTGAAAGGAATAGAAGAGTTTCGCAATTTCTTAGGGGAAAAACTAAAAGCGCACAAAATTAACGTCTAGTTTCGACATTTTACACCAGTGCCACTGATGTCCGACGGTAATTGGGTATTCAGTTGCGTTCAACATCTGGGTACTCACTTCCTCGCTTGCCACTGTCGTTCCAAAAGGTATGTCAATCAAATCTTTCTTTTAACAGCGCGGCTAAAAGATAGTCTGAACACACGTATTTTTTCTGGAACATTTAACAAAGCGTTAAAGCCCTTTTTAACTTTGCGGGATGCTCTAAAAGGAAGAGCAGAGAGTCTACGTCATTCATCCATTCATACGCTCTTTTTTTAGATTCTTTGTTGGTGACTTATTAACAGAGGTATAGTCTCGAGTGCCCGTCATGCACCATGCTCGTCTGGCTTTTGGTGATAGAGAGAAAAATGACTTTTTTAGAAAGGCCGACTGTTTTTGGTTTTTCCGCTGATGCAGCTGACTACCATTACATTGAAGGGTAGATGAAAAAAGAAATAGGAACAAAAAGCGGACACTGATAAATGGGAATTCGTTACCGCTAATTGGGTTGCATCAATTAAAGTCATGAAACATTATTCCGAGAAATTAATTATTTTTCATCAAAAGACTCATCGACTTTATTCACTAGACCTCTGTCTCAAATAACCTCCAAAAAGTGATTCACAACCTTTTAGAGCTTTGATTTGGAGGTGATTTTTTTGTAAAATAACCATCAATTCTACCGCAGTTAGACCATCTTTGCTATTTAAAGAAAAATCAATGTGATCAATACATGAGCTGTCGAACTGCATGGCGTGGGCTGGTAATCGCCAAATTCATAAAAAATCGATAATAACGGCTGATCGTTAAGTGGAAACAGCTGGTGGAATGAAGCGATTTGTGTGTCTAATTGGAGACATCTTTGGCTCGACGCAAAGACCTCACACAAGATCCTCTTTAGTCAATTAACAGGTCTTAAACTGATGCTTGATTTGAAGATTTAAAACTAAATAATCGTGGAGGTGAATATTTTTGGATTTCAATCAAAAATAATATCAATAATTCGACTCCAACATAGCCATAGAGCCAAATTAGAATTTAATAA